ATACATCAGAAGTGTAAATGCTGAATAGTATTGGTGAGTTTATTGTTCCTTGTTGTAGACCGTTTAAAAGTTTATATTCATGTTCTGATTTTTTTCCGTTATTGACTAATGCAAACGATCTACTCGTTATCATATTCGATGCTTTCAACGTGATATGACCGTTGACATTTGTAAAACTTCTCGATATACCAAAAAACTGTTTAATACACATTACACGTGCTACAAACTCTTTATTGCTCATGTAACTCAAATAATAATAAAATAATAATAATAATGATTCTAAAATATTATCAAGATATTTTAAAAGAGAAAAGAAGCTGATGTTTTCATTATTACTTTTTTAACTATCTATATAGTCATTTAAACTATAGTTCATAAATTTTTTTAGCTGTGTGCGCTAAATAAATTTGTAACAATAGTAAAAGATATTCGAAAAATAAAAAAAAAATATATGCCAACAGTACACGGTGTTCCCAAGCGGTCACCCATCTAAGTACTAACCGTGCCCAATGTTGCTTAACTTCAGTGATCAGACGAGAACTGGTGCTTTCAACGTGGTATGACCGTTGACGTTTGTAAGACTTCTCGATATGCCAAAAGACTGTTTAACACATAGCACGTGCTACAAACTTTTTATTGCTCATGTAACTCAAATAATAATAAGGTGATTCTAAAATACTATCAAGATATTTTAAAAGAAAAAAGAAGCTAATGTTTCTACTATTACTTTTTAACTATCTAAATAGTCATTTGAACAATATAGTATGTAGCTATAAAAACTTTTTAGCTGTGTGTGCTAAAAATTTATAACAATAGTAAAGGATATTCAAAAAATAAAAAAAAAATATATGCCAACAGTACACGGTGTTCCCAAGCGGTCACCCATCTAAGTACTAACCGTGCCCAATGTTGCTTAACTTCAGTGATCAGACGAGAACTGGTGCTTTCAACGTGGTATGACCGTTGACGTTTGTAAGACTTCTCGATATGCCAAAAGACTGTTTAACACATAGCACGTGCTACAAACTTTTTATTGCTCATGTAACTCAAATAATAATAAGGTGATTCTAAAATACTATCAAGATATTTTAAAAGAAAAAAGAAGCTAATGTTTCTACTATTACTTTTTAACTATCTAAATAGTCATTTGAACAATATAGTATGTAGCTATAAAAACTTTTTAGCTGTGTGTGCTAAAAATTTATAACAATAGTAAAGGATATTCAAAAAATAAAAAAAAAATATATGCCAACAGTACACGGTGTTCCCAAGCGGTCACCCATCTAAGTACTAACCGTGCCCAATGTTGCTTAACTTCAGTGATCAGACGAGAACTGGTGCTTTCAACGTGGTATGACCGTTGACGTTTGTAAGACTTCTCGATATGCCAAAAGACTGTTTAACACATTGCACGTGCTACAAACTTTTTATTGCTCATGTAACTCAAATAATAATAAGGTGATTCTAAAATATTATCAAGATATTTTAAAAGAAAAAAGAAGTTAATGTTTCTACTATTACTTTTTAACTATGTAAATAGTCATTGGAACAATATAGTATGTAGCTATAAAAACTTTTCAGCTGTGTGCGCTAAAAATTTATAACAATAGTAAAAGATATTTGAAAAATAAAAAAAAAATTATATGCCAACAGTACACGGTGTTCCCAAGCGGCACCATCTAAGTACTAACCGTGCCCAATGTTGCTTAACTTCAGTGATCAGACGAGAACTGGTGCTTTCAATGTGGTATGACCGTTGACACTTGCACATTTTTTTGATTTACAGAAAACTTGTTGGACACATATCGTACAGTTATAATATTTTCATTACTCATGTAAAGTAAATAATAATAAAATAACTGTAAAATGCCGACAAGATTTTTTAAAAGAAAAGACGAATTGACGCATCTCACTATTATTTTTTAACTATCTAAATAATTGCTTGAATAATAAGCAGCTGTGAAATTTTTGTTGTCTGTGTGTGCTAAATAAATTTACAACTGTAGCAAAGGATTCTTGAGAAATTATTAAAAAAAGAAAATAATAACGCCAACAGTACGCGGTGTTCCCAAGCGGTCACCCATCTAAGTACTAACCGCGCCCAACGTTGCTTAACTTCAGTGATCAGACGAGAACTGGTGCTTTCAACGTGGTATGACCGTTGACGCTTGCTAGCATTCTTTATATTGTACTTCTACGTATTTCGAAAATGAAATAAACGTAAAGTTAATATTTGCAACATATACGGAGCAAATTTACGTTTATTTGACATTTTATTGTACCTTATTTTTTAAAATAATATAGTATTTGCGCGCGTTGTTGACCAAGCATACATAAATTTATTCAGTTCATGTCGCTAATATTAATTTTGTGGCTATGTTTTGTTCTTAAAATCTACGAAAAAACGATATGAGAGACACAAATGAGTGTTAACCACGTTAGACGAAAGCACTCGTCAGATCATTGAAGTCAAAGAGTAGCGCACGATCAGATATTAGATAGGTGATCATTTAAAAACACTATGTGTGTACTCTGTTCAATATATATATATATATATATATATATATATATATATATATATATATCTTTTTTTTAGATTTTATCATGTAAAATTAATGCGTTTCGCAGAACAAAGGTTTGACTGGCGCCATCTAGTGACATTATAGGGAGACCTAAAGATCTAGAAGGTTTGTGTCTCGGTTAAACATGGTTCAAATCTTAACTAAATATGGTTAAAATCTTAACTAAGTTCAATTGGTTTACGTCTTGACTAAATGATCCTTACAGTTGGATTCATTAGTTTCGAAATGTCCGCTACGAGCCGCCACTAACCTTTTACTGCATTTCTAGACAAAATCATAAAGTTCGTAACCTGTTCTTGTAAAACTCGTAAGAATTTATGAGTAAACGATTAATATGTAAGCTATGACTTTACGATTTTACGATTTACTAATATATTTACTTAGAATTGCAGCATTTATGTGTGAAATCGAGGTCGAAATATTTGTCAATAAATAAAATTAACTTTTATTCTTTAATAAGTTTTACAATTCTACAGTGAGATAGAAAACTTTTTTATTTGTAAATAATATAATTCAACGGCGCTTTAGTCACATTCTTATATATATATATATATATATATATATATATATATATATATATATATATATATATATACACATATACATACATACATACATACATACATATAAATATATATACATACATACATACACACACACACACACACACACACACACACACACACACACACACACACACATATATATATATATATATATATATATATATATATATATGTGTGTGTGTGTGTGTGTGTGTGTGTGTGTGTGTGTGTGTGTGTGTGTGTGTATGTATGTATGTATATATATTTATATGT